ACAAAAGAGCACTTCTCTCTAGAGGGAGAAATTCCAGCAAAGGCTGCCCAGAGGCACTAAAGGGCCCACAGGGATACCCCCTAGGGCAAGAAGTGCTGCATACCTTAGAAACCCTGAATTCCTCTTGGGATTGGTTTATTATTGCCTTCAGCAGCATAGCGACTTTCTGAAATCAATCCTTTTTGCATTAAGTAATTAAAACACAAGCAGGAGGCTGGTTCTAGTTTCCTCATAAATAAACCGAAAATAATGAAATGTTAGAACTGGCACTGCCTGCCAAGTTTTATGGTTGTCCCCTAATTACTCTGGTACAACACAAATTTTGTGCGTGTGTCTAAAATAATTATTTGATAGCTGTGGCCATAGTTCCTAAAGTAATTAGGAACTTTAATCATGGATTGAAAAATAGAGAAATGGCTTGATAAATGTTTGCCCTCCCACCTAAATAGGTTTTTAAAAAGGATGCTGAGTTTGTATATTTTGTGGCCTCCATGAATATTTATTATGAACAGAGAGACTGGCCTGACAAAAAAACAATTACAGAGAGCTGAAAGCCTGACCCATCTATGAAACTACTGTTTTATTCCTGCAACCACTGTGTAGGGCCTGAGGTGGAGAAGGAGTCAGCAAGGTGAACATTTGGATGCTCAATTTTACTGAATTTGGAGGGAGATGGTTAGATCAAAACAAACACAATGATATCATTTAACCGGATATAAAAGTCACACAAATTTCTCAATTTCACAAAGACACTTTGAGTTGTCACCTACACTGGGACCCTCACAGGTACACCTTCATTTTGGAGGTTCCTTGTGGAACTCTTCCTGAAGTCTCCCAGAGTGTAAGGAAGCAATGGCTCGCCAAATAAAAAGGAGGGTGTTTCTGATGTGTGGGTTTTCACTCTAAATTAGATTGGCTTCATTTCAAATCATATATATAAATATGAATAATAAGAACATTAAAGCACCCTCCAGATGATTGGCTATCCAGTCTACCTCTGGGGACACCTGATAATACCTGAGCATTTTGGGGTTGTCACAACTTGGAGGGTAAGTCATAGCTACAGGTATCTGATGCTGTCCAGCATTCTCTACTGCACAGGATAAGTCCCACAACAAGAATTTCCCAGCCCAAAAACTGTTGAGTTTGAGAAACTCTGCTCTAGACAATGGATATATATACACACAGGGAGAAAAAGGTGAACAGAAAGTCAGAGTCAGAGATCAGGGCGCACACGAGACCTAAGAAGGCGGTCACAGTTCACTGGGAGCGGGGCAGGTGACCAAAGGCAGCTGAACAGGGTTCAGCTGACTGCCAGATAAGGGACGGGAGTGAATTTACAATTTAGTCCATGAATAGAGTGGAAATGTAGTGTTCGAAGACTTGCTCTTGTGGGACTGTGGAAGCTGCTATGGTCAGAGACCTGCCCTCTTCTCCAAGGAGCTGTGTGAATCTTCCAAACGTCAGTGAACGTCCTCCCTCAGTGTTCTGAAGTCTACCAGTCCTACTCACCTCTATGTTCTGCCACTGGTCTCCAGAAAGAGCTGTAAACCCCTTAAGGGTGATTCATGCACTTTCCAGTGTCTCTCTGGTCCCTGGTAACTCAGCACATGCGATCCTCATAAAATGGTTGCTGAATTGACATCAGAACCATATTCTCCTCCCAATATTAGAAATTCTGCATGCATTTACGTAAAACATTAAATGGCAAGAGGAAAAGGAAGTGATCTACTATTTTTATCTGGGAAGATCATTTAGCAAAGTCTAACTTCAAAGACCAGTTTATACATTTTCTGTGCTAACCATCTGCTTGAGTGCCCCCTTTCTCTAGCATATTTAGTGGTTTCCACTGGTAACATGGTTCATTTTGAAATACCACTCTTGCTTTCATAATAGGGTCTCAACCTTGGTTAACATTTTTTTTTTAAAGCATAAATGCCCATAATCAAAGCACAGAGCAGAGTTTGCCTATCCTTTACTAGACAGCTGAAAAAAAAAAAAATTGGAGCTCTCTAACTTAATTTGCTAATAACTTTTTCTTATAAGAAGTCATCAGACTTTTCTCAGCTTTAATTTAACAAAAATTCATTTAGGTTTTCTCCTTGCTCTTCATATTCAAAATAACCATTCTACAAACTGAAAAGGAATCAAGCATTTGGAGACTGTAAGGCAATTTTCCATGAAAATTATCCTGGACAGGTTCAATTACCTTTCTATAGCTCACTTTCCTAAAATATAAGAAACTCATCTCAAGCAATACAATATCCTCAACCCAATCTACAAAACAAATCAAAGGGTTATTCTTTACCCTACAAAACCACTTATTGAAAGTTTCAACCTAAGATTATTTTCATTTAAAAGCACCTACTCTCAAACCTATTTAAATTCAGATGGTATTTACACAACTTTTCAGGAACCAGAAGAACTTTCTAAGAACTAAGAAGGAATGATGATTGAGCCCAACCTCTTAATTTTGCAGGTGAGAAAACTGAGGCCCAGAACTTGATCTGAACGCTCAAAGCTACACAATCATAACCAGGAGTTATCAAGGGCTCAGGGCTTCTTACATCTTCACTGTCACTGTGTCTGGTGCCCAGTCCTGCTTCTCACCTCTCCCCACTATGCCTTCACCACAAAAGCCACTCCAGAAAACGGCCAGAGGGTTGCACCTACAGCAGAAGCAAACTATGTCACTCTGCTCAGAAATGTCCCATGTCTTCTCATCTCTCCCAAGTGGAGGCCGTTCCTAACAAGCTCTACATAGCCCATCTATTTCTAGTTAGTCCTCTTTTAAGTTGCTGCACCCAACACTTTCTTCACAGACTTCACCTTGAAGACTGCCCTTGCCGTTCTCTGCCAGCAAACTCTTTTTTCTGACATCAAAAGATTTCCTGCTTTCCTTCCTTCAGGAGTCTACACAAATGTCACTTTACCAAAGCTGGCTTCCTTGACTACTCTATCAATAGCCCTACCACACCACCCATCTCTCTTACCTACTTACTTGTGTTCCTATTTTTCTAATAATATCTATTTTCTCATAATAATCTCTAATAATTCCTATTTTTCTAATATCATATTTTTATTGATAGTCTTTCCCCACTAACGTGTCAGTACAACAAGAAAGTCCCTGATGGAACCCAGTGCCTGGCCCACAGCAGCACTCAGTATTTTTGGTAGGTAAGTGCTTAATCCGTGCTTGGTACTATTGTAAGGAAGGCAGAGGAACCAACTTATTTAATCTTCTCAGTAGCATGTGATCATCATTATCGTCATTACTGTCATGTCTGGCTTGCAGATGAAGAGACTGAGGCACACAGAACTTCAGTAATTTGTCCAGGATCACCCAGCTAGTTAGTTGTAGAGTTGAACCCAGGCCACAGGCTGTTTCACCACCAGGATACAGTATAGCACATTAGCTAGTGACCAAGAACTACTTCAACAGTTTCCCCCTCTACTAGACTCTCAGAAATTGAGATCTATTGAAGTGTGCTTTCAAAATGTCATTAACTTCCTATGACTGCCTAATATGTTTAAATAATTAATAAGGTGTGATTTAAATTAAGACTGCTAAACAAGAGCAGAAGTCTCGTCAGAGCACACAAAGGAGATGCCTGTGGCTTACAGGCGGCGTGTGCAGGTAATTCTCCTTACTAGACTGAGATCACCATGATTAGCTCCGGTCCATAAAAGGAAAGCTAAGACACAAAAGCTGCAACGATGTTCCAGGCCCTGCAGCCAGCAACAGTGGCTGGAAAGGAGACTCTGAGGGCTCCCTGGGATTGCAGCAGGTCACACATGCTCCCTGCTTATTAGTGTAAAACACCCAATGATTCACACAGTGGAATGTTTAAGCCAAGATGTCACCTAATAAAGGGTATGTTGATACAGCTTTATCTGAGAAGTTACATAATCACCCTAAAAGAGGGGTCTACTCCCTTGGGAACTACTCCACAAAAGATAATCAGGATTTTTTCATTGAGAAACTTAGTACCCCAGACTGGACAGGTGACTTGGAAAAACAGGGCCCAGTGAAGGCTCTCTGAGCACAGTCACTGTTCAGTCTGGTAAGACTTTGCCAGCCTCCCTGACCCGCAGAGCTTTCCCGGACCCCCAGACAGGCCATTCTTCTACAGGGGAAAGAGGCCAGTTCTGTATCCAGTCTCCCTGAATACAGAGGTCCCCTACAGTGAGTTCTCTCTGCCTCTTCCTTTGGGTCCAATATTTATTTACAAGCTTAGGCGTCTTCCATTACCTTTCGACCCTAGATCACCTAATGAAGTCCCTCCCACCTTGCTGGGATTCTCTGAAAGAAATGATTCTTTGAGAGCTACCTCAAACTCTGGAATACCACACCCAGCCTTCAATCTTCCCTGACCTCAACCTCCACTGTCCTGCCTCGCCAGGACGTGGCAGAAGGAAGGACGTTGGCTGGGAGGGGCAGAGGTGTTACAGCACCTGTGACATGGCAGGCCCCGGCCCCCACTTCCCCATCCCCACCCACCTTCGCTGCCCAGCTGGGAGGCTGACCGGGCCCCAGCCTTCGCGGCGCCCAGACCTGGAGGCCCAGCCCTCCCGCCCCAGCCTTCTGCCCTCGTCCAATGGCCACCGTCCAAGGGCCAATGGGCAGGGCAAGCTGAGCAAGCCGCGGCAGCCTAGCCGGGTCCCCGCCCTGTTCCCGGTTCCCGAACCGGGCGCCGGTGGCCTTTAAATGCCACCCAGGGCCGGTGCGGTACGGCCCTTGCCACCTTTCTTCCCCGGGCGGAGGCAGCAGCACCCCGCGGAAGCAAACATCCCCAACTCAGCAGCCGCGGTGCGGACAGCAGCCGCCAGCTCCGACCTGGGGGCCGGCACGGCCTTCCCTCCCCTTTCTCCTCCCTCCAGCCCAGCCTGCGGGGTCCGCGCCAGGCCCCCGGGCGTGCGCGCGCGCGCGTGCCCGCGTGTGTGCGCGCGCCTCAGCGAGCTCGGGCCCGCGCCCCCGCCCGGCGCAGGACCGCCCGGGATCCCAGCCCGCGCGCCGCGTTCCCCCGTCCCCAGCCGCCCGGCCGCCAGCCGTGCACCCCGCCGCGCGGTGCAAGAAGATGGCGGGATCGGTGGCCGACAGTGATGCCGTAGTGGTGAGTGTGGCGGGGCGCGAGCGGAGACGCCCCCCTCCCGCGGCCCCCTAACCTGCGGACGCCTGCGCCCGCCGGAATGCGGCACCAAGGCGGAGGCCCAGCCTCGCGCCCCGCGGCGTGAAAGGCGCCGGCGTACCTGTTAGCAGCAGCTGGCTGAACGCTGCCGCCCTGGGGGGGGCGGGAACCCCACCCCACCCCAACCCACCCCAACCCCGAGATTGGAAGCCGCTGGACTGGGTGAGGGGGCTTGTGGGCGGGAGGACGGCGGGGGTGACCGGCAGCCCCCTCCTTGCCGAGCCTCCAGCTGCCAGGTGTGTGCACGTTGCACGTGTGAGTGTGCGCGTGTATGAGTGTGTCGGGGCGCGCGCCCGCGTGCGCCCCCGACATCCCGGGGATTCCCGGGTAGAAATGGGTCTGCTCCGCAGAGAAGTTGAGCGCCGCGGCTCGGCTCCAGCCGCGTCCCCCAGGACAGGCCTGGGTTACAGCGGTTCCAGAGGCGTTTGCAGTTGGAGAAGGGCCTGTCCTTCTCCGGCACAGGGTTCTGGCCCCCCATGGGCCTCGACCTTGATTTTGATCTGGATTTTTAGTGTCTGGGGATCTTCACGGGCTTAGCTACCGAGTGAAAAAGGAAGGGTTTTTGTTTCGGGATTTATGCAGTTTTTCAATGGACTGTGAGGCTGGCAGCATATACCGACGCTGCCGGCGTTCTGTGAGGGCTGCTGGATTTCTCCGGATTAGTGTAGGCTCTTCCCAGCTCTTCTCCCCTACCCCGCCCCCAGGCCGTCCGCCTCCCCCAACCCCCACAGAATAGCCTTGGAAAGCCAATCTGTGTGCTTCTGTTTTTAGAAACTTGATGATGGGCATTTAAACAACTCCTTGGTCTCGCCAGTTCAAGCCGAGGTGTACTTCCCACGACTGGTAAATTATCTTCTGTGCTTGTCTCTGCCTATACCTGCTTCTTTTTAATTGCGTTTTTCAAATGGGTCAGGTCCTCAGGATTTGAGGGCATGTATTGTCCCTAAAGGCTGTAAACTTCCTTTTCCTTCTCTCATCCCTTGCAGATAGTTCCATTTTGTGGGCACATTAAAGGTGGCATGAGACCAGGCAAGAAGGTGTTAGTGATGGGCATCGTAGACCTCAACCCAGAGAGGTAAGGCTGTAGCATCCTTGAGGCCCCAGACTTGTCCGTCAGTTCCCAAGGTCCGGCCCATTCTGTTGTGGTTTGGTCCTCCTCCTCCCTCTGTGGCTAGTGTTGCTAGTTGGAAGTGCCAAGAAAGTACCATGTTCCCATGAAAAGAATGTGTATGAATCCCAGCCATCATTTCTCCAGACAGCTATTTATATCAGAGATGATAAATATAGGCCCACATCATTTTCTCTTTGACTCTTAGGGAGGCCAACTATTTTTTGTTTTTAATGGTTTTGAAAACTTGCTTGGAGCCAGAGCTATCAGAATAAATAAAAACCAAAGTCTACAACATATTATTCCACCGAGTCGATTTCTGTGTCTGTTTTTGAGAATTCTGAAATGAATTCAAACACAAATGTGTGAGTTTGAGGGGAGGGGAATCTGAAAACTCTGAAGTTAGTCATTTTCAACTTCACTGAGGTTTTTTACCAGAACTTTCTTTAGGTAACAAAATAACTTGTTTAAATGTAATCCTGCTTCTCCTTAGTCTAACATCCTGTGTTAGGATATTGGCCAATACAAAGCAAAGGAGGAAATCTGGGCACCTGGGTCATTGTCATATGTTGTTTTTATCCACTCCTGAATAAATGAGATGATTTTCTTTTCAGCTTTGCTATCAGCTTGACCTGTGGTGACTCTGAAGATCCTCCTGCTGATGTGGCAATTGAACTCAAAGCTGTGTTCACAGACAGACAGCTAATCAGAAATTCTTGTATATCTGGGGAAAGGGGCGAGGAACAGTCAGCTATTCCTTACTTTCCATTCATCCCGGATCAGCCATTCAGGGTGAGTACCTCGAATGCTTCAGCTCCAGCCATTGGCAGAATGATGAAGAACTCGTCTAACATGTGCCAAGAGGGCTTTAAGCAGCCAGAATTTTTGCATGTCCAGGAAATTTGTCACTTGATGGTGATGAAAGAAAAAAGATCAAAAGAACGTTTATTGATGTGACTTAATACGTGCCATTGTAGAGCTTGGCTCTCTTTAACCAATATATTTAGTATCTAAGCCCATATTTACATATATAGATTGTTAAGAATAAATTACTTCTGTATGTAAGAAGTCCCCTAATATATGATGGATAATAAAAATAAGTATTTAGAATTTTTCTTTAATTCACACTAAACCTTATTAGTTATGACTTTTGAAGAATATAGTCATTATTTTTTCATTTGCTCTTATTCCCTTCAGTAATGAGGCCTGATGATGTCCTTGCCTCCCCCCACCCCCCATTAAGTACCCTTATTCTATGCCAATTTTTTGGTCACAGGCTAGGTGGCTGACAGATTTCTTTTCTTGAACATGATTTGCTCCCACAATCTAGCAGACAGGAAGCACAGCCCGTATTTCTCATTCAGTCAACATTAGCAGCTCCTTCCCCTATGAGGGACCGTGCTAAGTAAGAGCTGTACATCAGGAATGTTTTAGGAAAGAATTTATTAAAATGTCCGGCCTGGGGATGAAATTGTCTGCATTATACCTTATTAACATACAGCACAATTAGTATGTCAGTTTAAAGTTCCATGTTGCCTGTACACCTTAAAAAGTAGCATAACCCTTAACCTATTGTTCTTCATCTAGAAATTCAGAAGAGGCTTACAAAGAAATCACTCTTTTTTTCCCATCTTACAGTGAGGGGGAATAATGAGAATTCATAATTTTCACATCAATGATAGATTAAGATTGTTAGCCTGCTAATCATAGTGTGGGGAAGAGACCCCATCACCATTCTCCCTGCCTGCTCCCTGCTCTAGTGTGGTAATGGCCCCGAGGCGCCTCTTGACTGCAGCCGTTTCTTAATGAAGAATCTTAATGCATAACTCAAGAGTGTGAATAATCAGAGTGTTTGACTGCCAAGAGAAATATAATGCTCCCCAACAAGACTGAAGTGAAATCGGCCTTTCTTGGTGCTGTAATTTTAGTAATAATATGAATTAAATATGACTAATATCACATATGGAGTCTCTCCTTGCATGATGAATACCAATGCTTTTAATAAATGCATAGCATAGACCTGATGATTAAACTCTATGGTGAATTACTTAAATTAAGGAAAAGAGGAAGAAAGAGCTTTTACCATATGGAATCAGTATTTCTGTTTGGCTTAACAAAGCTTTGTTAATTACACATCCTTGGTCCAACAGTAATTACTGTGTAACCTTCTCTTTGCTTTAGTGTTTACCATGTTGAGTGTCTAGACTGTTATTATATGCTACTAATGGATACCAATTCTGCCTTGTGAGGGTCTCCTCTGAAGTTGGGATAGAATTGCAGGGGACAACAGTGGAACCATTGAGTGCCGCATAAATAAATCTTTGCTACTACACACCACTTCCTGGAGTTTAGGAGAAGGAAGAAATGTTAAAGCATAAGCAATATTAACTCTTTAAATACTACGGAATAGCAGGGACTAATAATTCCTAAAGTGAGTTCTTTGTTGTAGCAATATCAGCTCCACCTTGGAACTTGTTAGAGATGCATGTTCTTAGGCCTGACCATAGACCTACTAAGTTTGAGGTGATGAACGCAGCAATCCATGTTCTAGCAAGCCTTCTATGTGATTCCAGTGCACTCTCTCTCTCATGTTTGAGAACCACTGCAGAGTTGCCTTCCTCTCTAAATATTCTGTCCAGTGGGCTCGCTGGTAGCCCAGGGGTTGAGGCTCAGTGCTATCATCACAACAGCCTGAGTTCGACCAGAGGACTAACCCACATGGCACAGCAGACCTCTCCTGTCCTATCTGCTGCTCCCCTCAGCAGTGGATTTCAGTAGATCTGCCTGTTCTCTTTCTCACTTTGTCTCTATGAATTCTCTCACCCCCTGCACCTCTGGCCAGTACCTCAGTTCTTATACACAGAAGTGTATGAAATGTTTAGAAAAAAATTCTATCCACGGCTCTACATTCACGGATTCCACCAAGCTCTGTTAGGGTTGATTGGGCTTGTGGATGTGAAATTTACTGCACTGGGGTTCAGTACCCCTAACGCCAGGGCTGCTCAGGGATCACCTGTATTGTCTGTTTCCCCAGCAGGATTCATTGAATTTATGAACTGAGATGATTATTCTGTTTCTACCAGGTGGAAATTCTTTGTGAACACCCGCGTTTCAGAGTGTTTGTGGATGGACACCAACTTTTTGATTTTTACCATCGCATTCAAACATTATCTGCAATCGATACCATAAAGATAAATGGGGACCTCCAGATCACTAAGCTTGGCTGATGTTGAAATCATCATCACCTCTATTTCAAATAGGATCAGGTGCCACAATTATCTGACTATCAATCTGGGAGAGGTGTCCTAGCAAGTTATGGAGACTTAAAAAAGAAAACAAAAACAAAGGCAAGCTTCACTGTCTTCTTTCTGTGTAGTTTTAACTCAAAATGACAACTTCAACGGTGGTTTGCCCGTAGGAAGAAAGCTGTTGGAACAAAGACACCGAGCCATTATTCTCAGAGCAAATACAACTTATGCTGGATATTTTTCAGACTAAACTGAAATGGATGTGTGATAATTTGTGATTTGATAGCAAGTTGTTCATCTTTCAAAGCAAGGTGATGTTTAGAAACAAAAGTGTTAAAGACTTACCCCAAGAACAACGACGGTACACCGACATCAGTTCATTTCTGCACTGCAGTGGAATTGTGTAGCACAACCAACATTTAGTCAGGGTATTTATATAGAATGTAGGTTGTTCAAGGTTTCATTGGTTTTGTGTTATTATTTTCTTTTTTTGCACAGCATAATGTTAGTTCAGATTTTTAAAGCTTTCTCGTAGTTATTTATTTATACTCAGTGTATGTATTAGAGAATGATCAATGTCTCAAGAACAGCAAGTTAGGAACTTTTGAATGTACAAATATACTAGGTCCTAGGGGGGAAATTATGTATTGCTATCATAAAACAGGTGAATTTCTACCTTCGAGAATTGAGTCGTATTCTCCACACTCCTGATCTGTGGATCTCTTGATATAAATTGCTGTAAGTACTTTTGGGTAAACTTTGCAACATTTCGATAAAACTGCTTTTCACGTTAATGAAGATTATGTAAAGTATGTTTACATTGCTTTTTCTCTTTACTGTGAATTTGCACAGTATTGGCTTCCTGAAGACTAGTTAACTATCTTCCGCTAGATTTTCATGATAGTTCATTAAGTTGATATTAAAATAATTCAAAATATAAGAGGTGATTGCCTGGACAAATTTTTAAATATTACATAAACTTAAAAGTAGTATGAGAATGATATGTAAAGGAGAAGCAAATGACCCCAAATAACTTACTTGGAAATAATTTATATCAACTTAAGTTGTTAGCTCATTGTATAATTTTTATTACATGACCCTCTCCAGTAGCCCTGAGCAACGCCTTTGGGGCCCCAGGATAGAGTATGCTTCTTACTGGGGTGACTACTGAGATACTGGGACAAGACAAGATCCAGGTTAGGAAGTGATTCAGTTTACCCAAAAGGCTAACTCCCAGGACTCCCAGTCTGAATCTAGCTGATAGCATGAATGCTTCCAGTTAAGTTGAAGACGTCTGCTGCTCTTGTGGAACTGATCTGACAGCAGAGCAAGTCCAGGAGGAGCCTGCAGTACACTTGTCATCACGAGGCAAGGGGTGGTGGCCATCCTCAGTACTGGACATCACAAACTGGCCGTAGAGGGGAGGCCCATTGGCATTGCTTTGGTCAGGTAGTCAGAGCGAAGGGGTTCCTGGGGTGGGGTGTATTTATACATAATTTAGGTTTTGTTTGTATAGCATACTGTGTCTTGTTATGACACGTCCTTGTCCTGCTTTGCTTTTGAGTTTTTCACACAACATGCAGAGGCACTGAAAAGGCCACGTCATTTTCACGTGTCAAGAATGTAGACAGTGTTTCAGTACCAAAGTCTAAGAAAAAGTAACCTAAATTTGTGAATTTTGTATGGTTGATATTTTTAGATTGTTCTCAACTTTGAATTGTTTAGCACAACACTATTGTGTTATGTAAGAAGATACTTTATCAAATGACTGGCTGAGCATTGTGTACAAATTCTATGTACCAGTTTGCTTCATCAACCATGCTTGGCCAAGAGGGCTGTTCTGTGGCTCCAGGTATTATCAAGCCTGTGATTAACTTCTCATGGTTTGTAAAGCCACTGGATTCTGAGGACTATTTGTGCAGAGACTTAGGGAACACCAGGAAATATGTTCGTAGGGGGTTTGATTCTAGCTAGGGTGGAAGACCCGGATACGAGTCTCCTTTGACTGGCACTCAGTACATTCACACTCACTGCATAATTTAGCAGAAACTGGAGGAGTTGAGTGTGACTAATTGGAATTGACACTTCTCTCTACCTATCAGCTAACTGGTTAGCAGCCAAGCCCTAGGCGTCTGGTAATGTAAAGATACACCGTTAACCCTTCTTTTCTCTATGAGGTCAGCGGGAACCTCTTGGGTAAGGCTATTGCTATTCAGTTAAATTATGTAATGGTTGGATTCAAGGTGTAGCTAAATTAGCAGGGAACGAATCTGGCTGCACTAATCATTAGCTGGAAACTGGAAACAAAGTTCACATCCTCTCTTGGCATGTGAGGTCTAAGGTGGGATTCAGAATGCAAAGTGCAATTTAAAGCTTCACAGGAAAGCATTTGGGTATGTAAGGAATTATTTCTGACCAGAGCCCTAATTTTGCAATATGACCAAAACCAAGAAATATAAATAACAATCAGGCTCTGGAGAAATAAAAGGTAGGCTTAAGACAATCTGCCCATTTTGGCAGCAAAATTGGAGTGAATGTATAACTCTGTTTAACATTAGCAAAAGTGACTTCCACTTTCTGGGCTGTCCCAGAATTGTCTTAAAATTATTATTATTATTATTATTTTAATTTGAAACCCTATTTCAAACCTTGCCAACCTCAGTTCATAACCCCCAAAGAGATCATTTTTAGAATTGATGGTGAATTATTGAAATGGCAAATTCTTTCGTTTATATTAAAGAAAATATTCCAAAAGAGGGAAGGAGCCCTGTTGCCTTGAGAGAAACAGTCTTGGCATTTTCTGGCATTAATGTAGAAATGAGATTTCTGTGATGACATATTTTCAAGGAAACACCTTCTTATTTACTGTGTGGTGTAAATGTTACTAAATGTGTTCTTACATTATTATGTCACTGCTGAAAGTTATTTGCACTATAATAAAGGAATTTTCTACAGGATGGTTTCCACTTTTTAACTTGCTAAATTTGAGCACCAGGTATGTTGTATTTAGCGTAGACCACCTGGCATCCTAGCATCCCCTTGTTTTGCACATTCTCCAAGCCACTTGCTGGTGTCTTTCCTACATTTAATAAACAGGTCAAGAGAAGCAAAGTATCTCGAGGCCCTCAAAAACCCATATAGGCAGTGGGTTCTTTTAAAATATAATCTATAAACAAAAATTCACTTTCACTTGGTGGGGGCTGTACAGTTCTATGAGTTTTAACACTTGCATAGATTTGTAACTATCACTGTGTTCAAAATACAAAATCATTCCCTCATCCCCAAAATTCCTTTATGCTACCCTGTTGTAGTTAAACTTGTCCCTAGTTCATAACCGTAATCAGGCAAATGATCCCTTCTTCCTATAATTTTTTGCCTCTTCTGGGTATCATATAAAGAGGACCTTTTGATGTTGACACCATTTAAGATTGATGTTGCATGTGTCAGCAGTTTCACCTTTGTATTGCTGAGTAGTATTCCATTGTATATGTGTACCAGTCTGTATCCATTCACCTGCTAAGAATGTAATGCATTCATATAGTATTTGTCATATTTTATTTTCTAGGCTATTTTTTTTAAGATTTATTTATTCATACAGAACTGGGGTACAGGCCAGAGATGCGGAGGGTAAGAGGATTCGACAGGGACAGAGTGGGGAGCAGGACAGGCAGATCGACGAAGTACACTGCTGAGGGGAGCAGCGGGCGGTCAGGAGAGGTCTGCCGCACCACGTGGTCACCTCCGGGGCAGGTGGGAATTGAACTCATGCGGAAGTGGCTTAAGCTTCTTAGTGCAGTTTTTTAACCCCCCTCGCCACCAGGGAGGGCCTGAATGTAATGCATTCTTAATAAATCACAGTGGAAGCAAGGCATGAGGCAGGTTCTCTATGGATGTGTGCAGACAGGTACAGGAAAGTACTGGAGCTCCCGGTGGCTTTTTCAGAGTTTTTTATTGAATATTTATTTATGCATACAAAACTGGGGTGCAGGCCAAAGGTGCAGGGGCAGTGAGAGGATTCACCAGAGACAGGGAGAGCAGAACAGGCTGACTGATGAAGTACACTGCTGAGAGGAGCAGTGGGCGGGTCAGGAGGGGTCTGCCATGCCATGACTTTAGCTTCTTAGTGCTGTGCTTTAACCTGCCCACCACCAGGGAGGGCCCAGAATTTTTTTTTTTTAGGGTTTATTTATTTATGCATAAATAAATAAGCCAGAATAAGCCAGATGTGGTGGGGGGGGCGAGGAGGGGAGGGCTGTGGAGAGGATTTACCAGAGACAGTGCTCCGTTCACGAGCAGAACAGGCAGGTGTATTGAAATACACTGCTGAGGGGAGCAGTGGGCAGGTCAGGAGAGGTCTGCCATGCCATGTGGGTCACTTAATGATTTCTCTACATCATTTGTAGTGAGGCAAAAAGGTGCAGAGCAGACAGACGCCCGGGACCAGGAGTCTGGCTGTCCTCCCATTCCCTGGCAAATTCTTTGGGGTCTCTTCCTCTCATAGCCATTCCACCACTGTCCCAGTTCTCTGCAATCCTTATAGCTTCACTCCAGGTGTGCCCAGGTGTGCCCAATTACATACGCCCACACCGTACTCTAGGTGTTCACCATCAGGCATGTGTGCCCCTGAGTTCATGTTCCCTAGTGCCTCCTGCACTCAAGGCCACAGGTAATGGCCACAAAGCCTGAACATCACTTATCCTGACAGTCATTAAGTAGGGTCTTAACCATAGTGTATGTATAAAAGCAAGATTGTATTTCTCTTTCCTGTGGTCTGAATGATTGGGGAGGAAACTTGCATCCCTTGGCTAGTCTGTCTACAGATAAAACTATGGCTTACAGTTTGCCATACTTCAGTCATGAACAGATATTTTTCTCACATCTGGACCTAGTGTCCTATATATACCTTAACTGGTGTTATTTATCCCTCTTAAAAAAAAAAAGATTTATTTACTTATGCATACAGAACTGGGGTGAAAGCCAAAGGTGCAGGGCTGGTGAAAGTCTTCACCAGAGACCAAGTGGGGAGCAGAACAGGCAGATCGACGAAGTACACTGCTGAAGGGAGCAGCAACTGGGTCAGGGGAGGTCTGCCACGCCCTGTGGGTCACCTCTGGGGCTGGGGATCAAACTCACACTGAGGTGCCTGTGGCCAGCTTGCAGGGCTGTGTCCTAACTCATTGCGCCCAATTAACCTCTTTCTTTAAGGATGCAAATCTGTAAGGTTGGTATCACAGTTTTTGCAATTCAGCACAGGCAGAGAGAAACTATAAAGCTGAGGACAATTTTGCAGAGGCTGTTGGGCAGAAATAAGGGAACTTCGTCTGCTTCCTTTGCTTAGCTAGGAAGCTGCTTTCTGGGTTATGACATTATGCTTGCTTTATTACAGCCTTTTAGATTAAATGATTTAGAAGACATTCATTATTGAAGCCTCTACAAACAGGGCCTGCATGCATGCAACAGGTATTTATTGAGCTGTGTCAGTTGCTATTGCAGGCACTTAGATGCATCATGAATATCTCTGGTGATTTTAAACCTTGATATGCTTAAGAACTGTCTGGTGAATCCTCTCACTGCCCCTGCACCTATGGCCTGTACCCAAGTTCTGCATGCATAAATAAATAAATCTTAAAAAAAGAATCACCCAGACACCTGAATGTGAGACAGAAGTCTAGCCTCAAGCTTCAGACATTCTGTTTCAGGAGTTCTGGAGTAGGTACTAGGAATTTGTATTTTTTTTTTTTTTTAAGATTTATTTGTGCATACAGAACTGGGGTACAGGCCAGAGGCTCAGGGGCGGTGAGAGACTTCACCAGAGACAGAGAGGGGAGCAGAACAGGCAGATCGAGGCAGTACACTGCTGAGGGGAGCAGCGGGCGGGTCAGGAGAGGTCTGCCACGCCATGTGGTCACCTCCAGGGCAGGCGGGAATCGAACTCATGGGGAAGTGGCTTTAGCTTCTCAGTGCAGTACTTTAACCCGCTGCGCCACTAGGGAGGGCCAGGAATTTGTATTTTTAAGGAACACACTGGGCAGTGCAGGTGGTGCTGGCTCCGAAATGAGGTAGCTCTGCCTTGGAGGTTGCCAGAAACATCCACTGAATCCGACTACTGGATTGTACGGGGCTTTGAGAACTTGATCTGTGGATATTTCAACACAGGGGCTTCCTGTTCTGCCAAGAATCATGGAATTGACATCTTAATGCCACAGCTGTGTGTCACTGCCGATTGGACCTCTTACTCTGCCTCTCCACACCTCAAATATAAAGCACTAGTAAAACAAAATGCCTTTCAGCTGAGTTCCGTAAAATCCTTATTTGATTGGGGCATGACCTCAGTAAGCACCCTGATACCTGTCTTACCCAGTGGATGCTCTGAGAAACATTGAGGTTTAGGGAGGGAAGCCTGTCCTCCTTTGTAAGCATTTCAATTAGTTATTCATTGGAGAATCACCAGGGTGGGGCCCAATTATTCTGTGAGGCAAAAACACAAAGTGGTTTATAACTGGTAAAGAGGGCCAAAGGCAAGTGGTAAAAGCCCAAACAAGTTGTTCATGGCACTTGGGATATGTATTTAATTCTTCCTTTCACAAGAAAATGCAGCTGTGTGTGCCCATACTGCAGTTCGACTCGCTTCCCAATCAGCATGTTCATTTCACAAGGATTTTTCCCTATTAAAAAATGCCTCCTGCAAAAGGCTAAGAACTGCTTTGCCAGACACATACTTCATAATTAATTAAGATGGGTGTATACAAGGTGCTGAAACAATACCAAATCAAAAGAAGAGAAGAAATAGCCACTGGCTCTTTCTCTTGCTTTGATACACCCTTCCATCTCCCAGGGAAAAGTAGTGACTAGGTGAGCAAACACAGAGGATAAGGAGGGAGCATTGTTTCATCCAGGCAACACAGCCCCTAAATAATAGGTCCCAGGATGCAGCAAGCTTCCAGGGAGATATGGGATTTTGGGGACGTTCCAAGTTTTCATAAGTAAGATCGATAACAAATGCTTGCTAGTAACTTCATCATCTATGGAGATGATGTCTGTCTGTATTGCATCACTGACTCTAGAAAGACTCGGAAATAATCAAAGTTTACCTGAACACTGGGTCTGGGAACCCAGGCTGTGGGAGGAGGGGAAGTAGAAGTGCATCACCCAGCCCTCCCAATTTGTTGAGTTTCTCCCATCTGTGCTTGAAACCTCTGGGCTTAATATGCTTCCCGTGGGAGATAGAAATAATGACATTTGTGACACTATTTGGAGAACTGGAGGAGATAACAGGTGGTGCAGGAGGAAAGCATTTCTTACAGCCGATAAAGCCAGAGTTAAAAAATCATGATACCAATTTCTATAGTAATCCTCCACGATTTTGTAAATGGGTAGTATTAATAGTGTGATTCTTTGAAACTATGTCTAATGCATCAGCATATACTTTCCATGGCATCACATGGAAATCTAAATAAAATCTAGATTTTATTTAAAATCTAGCTAAAACTAGCATCATAGAAAGTACCATTTAGAATGATGCTTATAAAATTTGCTTACGGATCTTTTACTCTGAAAGATTATAGCTGTCCCAATATTAGAAAGCATGGGTTTCTCCTGAGGCAATAAAAAATGACTTCCAATTCAGCATTACTATTATGTGAATAAGTGCGCCAGAAAGACGTGTGGGGGCTGGGGGGATGGTTTCCTCAAGATTAAGGAAACAGGGCCCTCCCTGGTGGCACAGTGGGTTAAAACACACTAAGAAGCTAAGGCCACTTCAGCATGAGTTTGATCCCCACCCCGGAGGTGACCCACATGGCATAGCAGACCTCTCCTGACCCGCCCGCTGCTCCCCTCAGCAGTGTACTTCCTCAGTAGGCCTGTTCTGCTGCCCACTCTGTCTCTGGTGAATCCTCTCACCCCCTGAACCTCTGGCCTGTACCCCAGTTCTGTATGCATAAATAGATCTTCAGGA